AGGGGCTGACATCTTGGGGAGAAGGGAGGTGAGGGGCTGACATCTTGGGGAGAAGGGGGGGTTATGTCGGTGTGACACTCTCTGTGTCTCCAACGCGGACGAGGGACAAGCTAGAAGCACGGGCGTCCCCTCCGCCCGCCCCACGCCGAGCCGTGTCCCATGTGAGTGGCCTGGGTTGGACGGAAGCAAACCGCTTCCTCCAGCATCTGGGGGGAGAGGAGCGTCCTGGTCGCCAGAGGAGAAGACTGAACCCACGTGAGCTCAGACCAGAAGGCGACGCACGTGAGCAGCACCTCAGCGAGAGAGGCTCGACGGGTGGGGGACAGGCACCCGGGGTTGGGAGCCGGGGCCCCGATGAGCAGCCGCCAGCTGGTCCCGCAGGGAATGGGGTGGAGGCTGTCGAGGGGGCGCACGCGATGGGGCGCACAGCCTGAGGGCTTCCACCTGCTCCACACGCAGCTGGGCTTCATGAACCAAACAAGACCATTTGTGTCCAAGGTCAATGCTTTACTGGAAGGTGGACAGACAGTCCAATCAGTTCTGACAGCAAACGCAGAGGATCCTGGTCTATGAGGGAGACGCAGGCACAGTTGAAAATCTACCCATAATCCTGAGGAGCTAAAGGCTTCTGTGCCAATAACCCAGCATGAGGTCTGCTCTCCGGTTCCTTAGATCAAACGTGGGAGGAAGTCCCTTGTACGTTCAGAGGCTGAGCTGCTGGGCAGGATTTCAGTAGAAGCCAGAGTATCCGTATCCCCCGCAGCAGGACGGGCGCCAGCAGCCACAGCCATAGCCTCTGTAGCCATAGCCACAGCCCAGGCCCCCAAGGCCGCCCCAGCAAGGCCACCCCAGCCCCAGCCGGAGCCATAGCCACAGCCCAGGCCCCCGAAGCCGCCCCAGCCGTAGCCGCGGCCTCCGTAGTAGCTGCCGTAGTAGCTCATGGTGTCAGGGGGAGTGTGTTTCTGTTCAAGACGAGGTCCTGAGAGTGAGTGTCAGCGAGTGGGGAGGGAGCTTATATACCTGAGCACCGCGTGTGATGCAACAGGTACCCATTCTGGGTGTCATTCCATGAATGGTCCTGGCCTGAGACAACTCGTTAAGTGTCTGGTACCCTGACCACAGGCCCTAAGAACGTCCGGTCGCGCTGGGCTGCCGACCGCGGTGCTTCCTGAACTTGTGGCTTTATTTCTGTGACGAGGACTTGCTGCATCTTCAAAGTCAAGACGTGCCAAGCCCCGTGGAATTCTCTATTAACAGTCATGTGACATGGGTCTCATTAACTAACCATCACGGGGTTTCTAATTAAATGTCTTCTCATCACAGGCATTTTGGGGAATGGTAATTGATTCTACTAACTACCAAGAAGCAGTCAAAGTGGAAACTCTGAAATGTATCAAAGCACACGGTGCAACCCGGCCGGGTGGGTCAATGGTTGAGCGTTGAACCAGGAGGTCAGGACACCTGTCTGGGTGGCAGGCTCGATCCCCGGTGTGGGGCGTGCAGGGGGCAGCCAATCGACGATTCTCTCATCATGGATGTTTCTCTGTCTCTCTCCCTCTCCCTTCCTCTCTGACATCAATAAAAATATTTTTAAAAAAATAAGAACGCCCACAGTTGGCAGCTTGAGAAGCAGAGGGTGCCCCTCTGTCCAGGATATGATGCGATAAACACTGCAGGTCGGACAGACGCGGCCCACCTGCTGGGTAGAGAAGAGTAGACGGAGAACAGCAGCCACAGCAGTGCCCACGGGCTCAGGGGACGGGTTTGTTTGGCCTCACGCTCTGGTGTTCTTGTTTTGGCTTTAAAACAGCAGCACAGTCGGCGTCAGAAGTGGAGCGAGCCTCACGGTCCTCAAAGCCCATCCTGTGGGGACCCCTCCCCCCCCCACGGTCTTCTCTCTACACCCCGGGCCCTTCCTCAGGAGCCCTGGCCTCCCTGCTGCAGGGGTGCAGGTGGGCGTGCCCCACAGGCCATTTCCCGTGTCCCACCCGCGTCCTTCAGCCCCATGTGAGGTCGCACTTCAGACGTCACCCAGCGCCTCCTCCGCGACTCCTCACTCACCAGGTCAGTGTGAGGTGGGCCAGGGTCCGGAGGCGCCTCCGTTCCAGCAGCTCCCTGGCTTCCATGGCATTTCAGCCAACATTAGCCTTTAATCTCCCTGCAAGCCCAGCCCCACTCCATCTCATTCCTATTTCTCATTAGAGAAGATCAGTCAACTGGTAAAGTGAGTATTTTCCTGTAAAAGGAATCATTTAGAATTATGGGTCAATTCCCTAGGAATTTCACACTTTTCGTGTGGCTCAGTCAGAGCACATGGCCATGATGAAGGGCTATTTTTTTGGCTTTTTAAAGCGGAAGACTTCCTGGATGGGACACCAGTAAAACTTCAATGACACAGTCCACACGAAATTGTTGTTTCCAGATAAGAAAACACAGGACAATGACATGCATAACTTATAAATGCTCTTTAGCTGCAAAAAGAAGAAAAGATAGTTTGAAAAATCTGGAACAAATCTGTTACTCTTTCTCTATATGAACAAGGGAAATAGTAACACTGGAAATTTCTTTGCGGAGGGGGGGTGATTATTTTTCTGTCCATTCAGTAGATCAAGAGCAGACTTAGGTCTTCATTTTTCTACACTAGAGGCCCGATGCACAAAAATCGTGCAAGAGTCGGCCTTCCTTCCCCAGCTGCGGCACCCGGGACCCGGGCTTCCCTCCACGTTTATAATGAAAGAGTAATATGCTAATTAGACTGGACATCCTTCCGGACGAAGCCCGGACAAAGCCGCGGTGGAGGGGGCCAAGGCAGAGGCGGTTAGGGGTGATCAGGCCAGCAGGGGAGCAGTTAAGGGCATCAGGCTGGCAAGCAGAGGTCCGGGCCCTCCCCGGCTGGCCAGCCTCTCATGTCCCTCCCCGGCCCCGAGTGTGCACCAGTGGGGTCCCTCAGCCTGGCCTGCGCCCTCTCGCAATCCGGGCTGAGGGACCACCCCCCTCCTCCAAGTGCACGAATTTCATGCACCGGGCATCTAGTTTTTAATAGAGTTTTATATCACGAATTAAGTTTTGATTCATATTGATACATGCAGAGCTAAACAACATTCTCACACTTCCCTGAAAGTAAGGAAATCTTTTGTTATTAATTCAAACAATTTTCTCTCACTTTAGATACAGATTGGTACAACCTTAAATAGAACAAAATCATGATAATATTGATTATACTAAGAATGTCAACAGCAGTAATAATTAGATGGGCTGCTGCTTGTCAGCCCCGTGGAAACTGTCCCTGGAGAAATTAGCCAAATGAGAGGAAAACAGAAATCCTATTCTGCTCGATTCAACTGCGTAACCGGGTCCTTCCGTGGTTGCTTGGCTCTGTAACCCCGCTCGCCCCACGGGGACGAGACCTGCAGCCCCCGGGAGCCCTGAGCGAAAGGGTGTGTGGTGGTTGTTTTGTTTGGTGTCTTTGGGCTTTCTCTGTTTGTCGTTTTTACCAAGAGTTGGGTTTTTAGTTAAATTTATTGGGGAGACATCGGTTAATGAAATCATACAGGTTTGGGGCGTGCATTTCCATGATGCATCATCTGTATACGCATTGGGACTTCACAGCCCCAAGTCACACCTCCTCCCTCACCATAGATTTGCCCCGTGTGGAGTGCGGTTTTCACATGACTCATGATTCAGGCGGAGGCGGGGACATGGGGACGTCCGCGTTGGCGTTAACATTAAAACTCTTTAATAAGAAGAGGATTTCGTTTCATTCAAACGCAGACACAGGAGAAGGTGACAGGAGATTCTCGCTATCAAGTGGTAACAGTGTTGGGAGAGCAGAGGACTGGCCTCCGTGGCCCAGTGGTGCCCACTCGCTCTCATGTCCATCCCCGCACGTGCACAGCGGTTGTCTGACCACATTCCAGGGGGAAATGCCTGCGGCTCAGGGTCGTGCAGTCGGAGACAGGGGCTCAGGTCGCCGGTGTGACCCCGTCCTGCGCTTACCGCCCGGGGAAGCGCCCAAGCTGAGCCCCGCCTGCAGCAACCTGGGCCAGGATGTGGAGTTTCCTGTCCTTTCAGGTTTAACCCTGTGATTCCATCTCCTGCTTCTCTTATGGCATCCGCCCGGCTTCCACCGAGCAGGACTGGGGCCTAGCACCGCCGGAGCGGAGTCTTCAGCTTTAGGAAAACAATATTTTTGTAGATATTTCATGTGTCCTATTCCTTGTCTCATATTGCTAATAAAGTGGTCATTTTTTGAAGGGATACTATTTATCACTGAAACTCATATTTATATGACTTTTAAAAATGTATTGAATGCCCTACCCAGTGTGGCTCAGTGGATAGAGCGTCAGCCTGTGGACTGAAGGGTCCTGGGTTTGATTTCCAGTCAGGGCACATGCTCAGTTGCAGGCTCGGTCCCCAGTAGGAGGCGCGCAGGAGGCAGCTGATCGGGGATTCTCTCGTAATGGATGTTGCTATCTCTCTCCCCTGCCCACTTTCTGTCTGAAATCAATAAAAATATGTGTTTTTAAAATGTAGTGAATGGTGCTGTGAGTCACTGGAGGCCACACACTGCTTTGCTCCATGATGACGCCTCCAGATGTGCATTCTCCTCACTCAGCTACAGGCTCCTCAACACGAGGAGGAGGAGGAGGAGGGGGGAAGTTGAGTAACCCAAGGTCACATTGCATGGTCCAGTTTATCAACAGCTTCTAGGACAGTCTTCTTATCTGCTTCACACATGAGATAGAAGCAGGAAATGATGAACAAAGGATGGTTCTATATGATCCAAAGGTTCAGAGGAAATCAGAGCTGACCTTCTCAGAAAGTGCTAGACAGGGCTGCTGAGATTTGTGGAACGAGAGTTGCTAAGATTCCAGTTTCTATGAGACAGTATCTAGCCACTAGCAGTGGCAAGATCCACCACCACTTGTTTCTATAAAATTATATGGATAAGAAGACAATAACAAATATTCAAAAAAGGTAGAGAATTTGTCCCTGATTTTGAACTCCATTAAGAAATAAAAATAGATAAAATATGAAACATGTAATATAATTGTGTTTTTATAATGTGTGTAGGTTTACAACCCCATGTGTGTATTGTATTCACACTGAGTGGCCAGATTATTATGACCACCCCATCAGTACAGTGAAGTGAATTAGTTATGCAAATAATAATAATAAAACCTTGAGAGTATTTGCTTAGGAAGTTTTCAATATTAGGAAGTGTCAATGAAGTACTGATGGGGTGGCCATAATAATAATCTGGCCACTCAGTGTGTAATCAACAGATTGTGAAATTTACATGAAAGTCTGTACACATAATGGAGATGAATGAACCAAAAACACCACATTTTCCATTTCAAATTTGATGATTTATTGGTATTCAACCTAAATCACTGGGAGTTCCCGAAGCTGCGCATGTCTGGCCTGGTGCAGACACGCTCATAACGAATACATCCTCTGAAATTCGGAGATTTCTCTTGAACGCAGGTCTAGGGTCACTCAGCCACTGGCAGAGGAAAGGTTTGGCCAATCCATGCCTGGTGCCAGCCGCTGGCTTCTAAGGCAGTAGTTTAGTAGAAGCCAGAGTATCCGTAGCCCCCCCAGCCATAGCCCAGGCCCCCAAGGCCTCCCCAGCCATAGCCCAGGCCCCCAAGGCCGCCCCAGCCCCAGCCGGAGCCATAGCCATAGCCCAGGCCACCGAAGCCGCCCCAGCCGTAGCCGCGGCCTCCGTAGTAGCTGCCATAGTAGCTCATGGTGTCAGGGGGCGTGTGTTTCTGTTCAAGACGAGGTCCTGAGAATGAGTGTCAGCGAGTGGGGAGGGAGCTTATATACCTGGGCCAGCAGGTACTCAGTCACGTGACCATTCCTGGGTTTCATTCCAAAGATTCATGGCCCTGAGGCAGTTCATTAATCTGTTTGCTGACGCCAGAGATGCTCATATTTATCAAAATTTGAAGCTGGCACCGCTGCCTGGTTAGAACACACTGGAACCCATGACATTCTTTGTTTCTAAGGAGAAGCATATCTGTCTTCCACGTCACAGAATAAAACCTCACTAAACACAATTCTCCATCCTAAGTGCATGGCATTCGTCATATTGGTTGGCGTGTTCTCATTAAACGTTTGTCATCTTAATTTGCATATCATTCTTTGGATTTTCCTATCTTACTTTCATCTCAGTTCAAATGCACGGATCCAATTTAAGATTCTTTTTTTAAAAAATAAATCTTTATTCTTCAGATTATTACAGTTGTTCCTCTTTTTCCCCCCATAGCTCCCCTCCACCCGGTTCCCCCCCCACCCCAGGCCCTTACCCTCCCCCACTGTCCTCATCCATAGGTGTACGATTTTTTTTCCAGTCTCTCCCGCACCCCCACACCCTTTTCCCACTGAGAATTGTCAGTCCACTCCCTTTCTATGCCCCTGATTATATTATATTCACCAGTTTATTCTGTTCTTCACATTATTTAT